TACACAGGATACACAGGAGCCAAAATTAACATGAATCAAGTGCCAAATGCAAGCTACTCACCACTAAAGTGATGTGAATGATTCAAATCAATGACATGCAAACTATCTACTTCAGAAAATCTGCTTTTATACTCTCTCAGGTCCGTTTTAACCCAAACATGGATGCGTACAACTGGATCCTGTCGGGCGGGCAGTCGGGTTTGGTGCGTGTGAACTGTGTACGTGGACTGAGCTGCTCCGTGATGCTCAAGCAGTTGCGTGAAGCTCAAGCCCAGTTCAGTGCCATGTTCCAGTCTCAGGAGCCCGATGACTCTGCAACAGCTGTCCGTCACAGCACAGCGGATACAGTACAAGTGCACTAGTCTCCTCCCCCTCAGCCTCTCAGCTCTATCCTCAAATGGACTGTGCTGTCATAATAGGCTGAGAGACTGTCATTTTTAGAAGACTGATGACACACTTTTTATCCTTAACTTATACTGAAAGAAGGAAAACTATTTTGATACAAGCCTCTGTACGTTCCTGGTTTTATATTTTTGTGCATTTTGTTTTATTAGTATTAGTGCTGTACAGAGTTTAGTATCTTTATCTTGATACATTGTCCTTTCCAAAGTATGTGTGGAGAATGAAATCATCAGCACTTATATCCGTGTCATTTACGGGGAGCGTTATTCTCTGTTTCCTTCTGTTCCAGTTCAGTGCTATATAATGATAAAACATATCCATCTTGAACTTTAGTGAGAAAACATTCGATTGGATCTGTTCATTTAGCTATCATATCAAGATCTGTTTTTTCCCTTTAGCTCTAGCTTTCTTACCCTAAATCTTCATTTTAAAGGAACAGTAACACAAAAATTAAACATCATCACCATGTCGTTTCAAACCTGGCTTTATTTCTTCTGTGGAACATGAAAATATAAAAGTTTTTCCATTCTATATGTAAATTCTTGCCCTTCACTGTCTTCATCTACAGTACATATTCAAATATCAGGCCTTTAGATAGAACGTTAGTTCTGATGTCATTGCAAGTTGACCAATCATTGATGATTACATGTCCAATCACAGTGCAGCATTGCGAATATGATGAGAAGATTATAATAAACCTAAATTTGGGCCTTTTTATGTTCATATGGAACAAGTAATAAAGTGTTCTGTGTACTTCGTTGTTTTGATTTATTTTCTGGAATTTTGGTCATTTTGAAGCTTTGGAGCCCATATCCCTATTCACTTTCTTAATATGGAAAAGAGTGGCCATTACATTCGTGAACATGTCTCCTTTTGTGCTCCACAGAAGGAATAAAGTCATACAGGTATGGAAAGACATGAGGGTAAGTAGTCAAAATGTTCATTTTTGGCGTAACGATTCCTTTAATTCTGTATCTTGATTTTTTTTTTTTTTTTTTTCCAGTGTTGTTATTCCTACCCATTTCAAGTCTTTATTACCTCTTTTACATTCTTCTTACTCAGGTCTAGCCAAATTTGTAAGGGCATCATGAACTCCTCTGATAACTGCAGCCTGCATGTGAGTTAATGTTGTCCCTGACCCAAAGGCATTCTGACATTAAGATCAGATGCACCTTGATACCCGTCTCATAATTCATGACCTCAGTTTTGCCTGAGTGAATATAATTAACTCCAGTGATGAGAATATGGAAAGGTGTCAGTCAGATTAATGCTGCTGTGGTCTGTCAGATAAGATTAAATAAGGAAGCTTATTATAATGGATTTCAATTTAGTGTGTTGTTTTAAATATCTCAATCTGACTGTGAGGCTCAAGATATGGTTAGTAGTTTTGGGCTGTTTTAACAGTAAATATTCATACTTTGCAAATTATATTTATTTTGTACTGTTTACTGAATTGTTATTAGGTACAGAAAAGTGTATTTATATTGTTTCATCATCATTTTAAATAAAATTGCTTTGCTGTTTACCACTAATTATTAGAACATGGTATAATTATTCTTGTGAGAGACACTGGAAAAGGTTGATTTGCATGATTTTATTACAGATTACAAAAACCATACACATTATGTGACATATAAAATTAAAAGCATGTAAAAATTAAATATCCATCATTAGTTTCTGGTTATATAGTGGCTTTATGTAGTCACATAAAGGATAAAACATTTACACACAGGACGTTTATAGACAAAAGTTTATACAAGAAGCAAATGTATATACTGTACACATACACAAATCTGAGGCACGACAAAAATAATCATGTAGATTATTTACAGTTTCCACGGAACAACATTAATGTCTTTCAGTTCATGACACAAAATGCAGAACATGTCAAAAACATGACCGATGACGTACCATCTCGCGCTCTGCTATCAGTTTTGAAGCTTCCATTAGGTTGAGTGCACCTGCATCTGAAATTGATTTTGGATTTGTCATATTCATCTTACCTTTTGAGTCGTGACGCTGTGTGTGCAATATTCAATAAGTCTCCGACTTATTCTAGCAAATAATACTTTGAGGTTTTTCCACTCTTGTTGTATGACTAATATGAATCCTATGTATTTTACTTTAATTTAAGAATATCTGATTATTGATTGTTTCCCAGAGATGTAAGGTTGCATAAGCTATACAACCTTATGTTTAAAAATGCAAGTAGGAAGACACGTTCCTGGATCAAAATCTTTTGTTGATCCTGGAACATTTTAATTAAAAACCCTTAAAATCAGAAGCATATGAACACACGCAGGTTATTCCTGTTATGCAGTACATCTTCAGTAGGCTACATGTGTTTTAATCATATTAAATAAAATATACTCACAATTTGTTAAGATGTGAATCATATTAGTTTTATTTTATTATGCTTTTCATATGGAAAAAGGTCTATTTATAAATAAATATTTTAGGTGTGTCCTATGTTATTTTAATAAGCAATTTATAGGTTTTCAGGAAAAACAATAGGTTTTTAGAGCCTTTCACAAAAGCCAATCCCTTATGACATCATGCAGGAAGTGAAAAACAGCGAAAGCGGTAAGTAGCCTATTCGTAATAGATTTGATGAATTCTGTGATGTTTTTGGTTGTCTCTCTAAAATATGATGTGCTGTTTAATAATATTACCAAATAGATCTAATGATATAAGACACTTGAGAAGATGGTTTAAAAAAAAAGTAACTTATAAAGGTGCGGTCACTATTACCTTTGCTCCGTTGTACCAGTCATTAGGAATATCGCGCGAATGGAAGTTTCACCTGAGGGTGAAATAGGTCACACAGATTTCGCTCGTTTTCAAGTTTTTCCAATTGCGCGCAAATTCACTTGTTGATCAACAGAAAACTACTCGGTTTAAAATACATTTTTGTCTGAGTGGTGCTTCATCTCTATTGACAACTGACAATGAAATTTCGCTCATGTTACCAGTAACTAAATGTAAGATAACTCTTAATCCGTAGCAATGGCTAATAGGTCATTTATATATATACTATAGACAGCTAATCCCTTTAATAGAAATAGTTAAATGTCCAGCATAACAGGAATGACTCCACTAATTGTCAATGTGCTTCCACTAAAAGTAAAAATTTTAAAGGGGTCATATGATGTTGCTAAAAAGAACATTATTTTGTGTATTTGGTGTAATGAAATGTGTTTATGCGGTTTAAGGTTAAAAAAAACACATTATTTTCCACATACTGTACATTATTGTTTCTCCTCTATGCCCCGCCTTTCTGAAACGCGTCGATTTTTACAAAGCTCATCGGTCTGAAAAGCGAGGTGTGCTGTGATTGGCCAGCTATCCAGTGCGTTGTGATTGGCCGAATACCTCAAGCGTGGGACGGAAATGTTACGCCCCTCACCATACTGTGTTGATGCCGTGTCCCGGCCGGGGAGATGATTCAAAAACGTGAAAACCCATTATAAACGAGGCATTCGTTGCAGGAGGAACGGCCGGAGGGCTAGAGTGAGCAGAGGCGGGCGGGCTTCAGAACGGCGCGGCTGGTGGATTCGCTTCCAGCGTCCGGCGGGCTTGCGGCAACCACATGTGACGACCCCGGGCTGGACTCCGGTTCGTCCACGGTGAAAGCCGATCCAGCTATCCACAGCGCAAAGTTGTTGTATTTCCTCAGCAACCAGCACGAATCAGCTCCAGGCATGACGAAGCAGATATCATCCTCTTTTGGAAGGCCAAACAAAGTAGTTTCGCTTTCACAACGAAACACACAGCGCCTTCACGACATAGCGGCGGCAACAACAATACTACAGCGAGAATAAAAGTTACGCCTTCTTTCTTTTTCTTTGCGTGTACCTACGTCAAGATCTTCTTTATGCACCAAGAGCTTGTAACACTCCGAAAAGAAAGGAAAAATTGAAATCGCATCATATGACCCCTTTAAAGCAGAGCTTTGGCACATCAACCCCAACATTATCAAAAATATACTGCTTATGCATTGGTCCTTTCATATTATCATTTTGTTCGCTCTCTCTTGTTTTATAAATGACTGTGATATTCACATTTAAAATATATATTCATTTTATCAAAACAAATAAACAAAATATAGAATTTAATGAATTTCAGTGAGATTGCGAGGTCCTTCGGTTGATCATTTATGATGACTGGCCATCTAAATCGCATTCACTTAAAAAAACAAAGCAACCATGCAAAGCAAACCCTTAAAACTCTTTCACAACGCCACAACAGAGCACAATGGCTACATTTTATCAGTACACGCAAGCTTTAAAACACAATAATCATCTGTCAAGTGTGTCTTTTATTAGTTTAAAATCATATTCGGTGTTCTATTTATATAAAATCTTCACATATAATGTAAATGAACATTAGTGCACATTTAGGGGCTCTGAAAGTTGTTACCAAAATAAGAATGAAAAGAAAACCGTGGTTTAAATTAAAAATGTTTTTTAAAAGACATTCAGAAATCATGTGCTAAGTTATTGTATGTTACTGCCATGACCTCAGTGCTGAACTACAGAGACATGTGAAACGTGTTGCACCACTTGCTGGAATGTCATAGAGTCATTGCGGCAGTGTGGCGGCACCGAGATCAGAGATGGAAATCCTGTGCAAAACGTGTGTTTGTGTGTGTGTGTCATCGCAGACCACGGCTGGACAGAGCCTGAAGACATGTGTATGGAGGGTGTGAAGCATGCTTGACTTTGAGAGACCAGAGTGACCCACAACAGCATCATAGCAAGGTGAAATGTGTCATTTCTGTGCCACTACTAGCGCCATCTAAGACTGCAAAATTAATGATTGATTCCAAACAAGTTTTTTTTCTTCCACTCCTTTTCTGTTGTTCAAACTTGGCTATGCTTAGAATGGAATATTTAATATTACTATGTATGCACTGTACTGTATATTCTACAGTTTTAATCAATTGGTGTGTAAAAATATCTTTATTTATCTTTATTGATATTGCTATCACTTCGTTCATCACATTTGATGGAAGGTCTGTTTAATTGCATTAATGCTGGAAAACAGTACAGTGATCTGCTGTATACTGCACATTTTGCAAATGTAGTAAATATCAAAATATTCTATACATCCAGAAATGTGTTAGGATGTTATACTACACTGCATGTATAAATCAGCAAGCGGTGTCCACTTATCATCTAAATATAGTATAAAATTGCATTTTATATCACTTTTGACAGTCTGATCAAATAATGATTCAGGGAAATGTTGATAAAGTGGAAATGAATACAGTAAAAAAAAACTGTTTCCTATTTTAATTATGCAATTTATTAATATTTTAAAATGCAATTTATTCTTAAAAGACTATTAATGGCTGCTGAAAATTCAGCGTCACCACCAATGAATTTGTTGGGATATCCTACAAATGTTTTACTTATACTAATTTCTGCACATGAAACCAGGATAGTTACACACTTCACCTTTAATATCACTCTTAGTTGTTTCATTCATCAGCCATTTTGACTCCACTGTTCTTTCAAAGCCACATGAAAACCACAACAGCACCTTCACTATCACAGCCAGTGAGGAAGAACAGAGTTAATCACCCGCTTGCTTTTGCAAATAGTATTGTACCATGAGACAAGACATTAGTGAGAGATCGCCAACAAAATCCATAATTACACTTGAGCACAATTTCTTTTTAAGCCCTACAACATCATGCCGCAGTTTGGCGGACATTCACATTGATTAGAGAACCATGCTGACAGCGGCCGCAAGTCTGGCTGGGGCATAATAAACCCTATTTTAATTGTTTTTAAGGAAGTCATGTCAATACCCATCTTTTACCCTCCCAAGACCACAGACAGGCAATTACAGTACACTTCTGCTGTAATGTACGATGCCAGCTGGCCAAGCAAAACCTTGCAAAGTCACAATAAAAAGGCTCACAGTGATGCCTCCAGGCCTCATATTTATGTGCTGCCGCTCAATTCAGTTGATCTTTGCATACAGTATGTAAAACTGAACATCAACACTTCATTTTAAAGCTATTCCTCCCATAAACCAATGCATTTTTGATGCTGAAGATGCACTTTTAAGATGGCACAGTGTGAAATCTCTCTTTTTTTAATTTTCTTGTTAATCGATAAAAATGCATTTGGCATGTACATATTCGTAGTGATATGTAGATGAGATATTTGCACAGTGTTTCCATTTCTGGCTTGGACCCTTAATGAAGCTTAATATGTGTGCATACATTTTATACAGGCAGCCTCCTCTCACCGATGCGCTTGGAGAACTTAGTCCATAGGGTCCTGGCACTGGGCGCAGTGGATCATGTCTTCGCAATAAGGCTCCACTTGAATGGTTGTGCTGTAAAAGCCAAATTTGGTCTGAAGAAGTCCAGCGGCTTCCTTTAAGACACTATGAGGGTCAGCGTTCTCTTCTAAAATGGAGGAGGGGGGGGGGGACACAGTTAGTTTAGCCTAAATAGATGATGCTGCACTTTAAAGGTCATATATTTTTACATTTAAAACGAATGAAAACATGAAATGCAAAAGGATTTAGGGTCATTATCAGGTGCCATTTCTGAATAGAAATTGTAAGAAATTTTAAATGCCTAGAAAATTGGGAATTCAGGAATTACATCTGCATTTAATTTCATGATATGTGTCAACTTATTCCCCCTTCCCACACTCACCAAAAAAAAAATCTGACCTTGAGGACAATATACTGTAATCAAATAATAACGGTAAATAAATAATAAAATATTAAATTCAATTTGAACCACAGGGTTCTTAATTTGTATTATAAATAAAAGACAGTAAAAACAGCAAAATTTAAGTAAAATTTAAACCCATTAAAATGTCATGGTAATAAATGGAGACATGCAAATTGAAATTTAATATTCATATAAAAATAAAAAATTTTATATTTAAATAATAATGACAAAATTACAAAAAATAATACAAATGTTTTAAATATTTTATTTAAAAATGTTTAATTTCACACTTAAATAATACATAAAAAATGACGTACTAAATAACATGTCCTGTAATTAAATCAGTAGTTATATCAGTGGGGACACAAATGAGGCACAAAACGGACACTTAACATAGCTTTTAACAAGACAAATGAACAGTTAAAGAATAACTGTAAAACAATGCTGTGAAGCAGGTGTTATTTAATAAACTTACCGATAGCTATGTGAACAGACAGCAGACTCTGGCCAATGGTGAGAGCCCATAGATGTAGGCTATGCATGGCCTTCACTGCTTTCAGAGACAGCAGAACCTCCTTCACTGAATTAAACTCTATACCTTTAGGTGCCCCTGAACACAGACACATGGCACTGAGTTTACAAAGATAGAGGCAAACCTGTCTGAGAAACTCATAGTTTGAATTTAAGGGTGATGTGTGTCATTTTCTTTTTTCAATTTTTTTGGGACTCGTTGTTTGGGAAATTTGTCTGCACTTCACCTTTAAATGCAGAAAATTAAACCACATGTATTATGCAACCGAAAATATACTGACATTGCATGCATATTTTAAGTGATTGAGAATAAGGTAACCGTAGTTAAATTATTAAATGAGCAAATTTACCCTCCATGAGAATGCGGAAGACATCTCTCAGGATGGTAGTTGTGGTACACAGGACGAACACAGAGAAGAGGAAAGTGCAAATGGGATCGGCTACTTTGTATTCTGGCTGCATTAGAAGGTGGAGAGAGAATAGGGGGCACTGATGCATTAAAGAACAAAATCACATGGTTCTTCGTAAAGTGTCAAAATGAATTAGACTACAAATATCAGAAGAAACATTCTCCACTCAAGTGCTTTCAAGAGTCGTGAAAAGAATTCAGTGTCCTCTTCCTTTTCAAGATAATTCAGTTTGATTATCTAAAAAAAAGCATACGCACTATTGTCCAAAAACTGGGGGTCAGTATGATTTTTTAAAGGGCTCTTATGTTCAATAAGGCTACATTTATTTGATCAAAATACAGTAAAAATTAGTAATATTGAGAAATACTATTACAATTGAAAATAACTTTTATTAATAATTTAGTTGCTTTGGATAAAAGTGTCTGCTAAATGCATAAATTATTTTTAAAAATTATTATCATATTATTATTATTATATATATAAGTTCAAAACTTCAGCATTTAAATATATTTGAAATAGAAAACTTTTTTTAATATTATAGATGTCTTTACTGTTTTTACTTTAATATACTGTATTTAATGTCTTTAATGCATTCTGCTGATTACAAATATTTGTCTTTCAAAAAAATCTTACTGACTTTTGAACATAAGTGTAAATAATTAGTTTAGAATTTATTTTCTTTTTCATTAAACATGCTCAAGCCATTAAATAAGAAAATATTTAAAAACAATTTAATTGACCTTTTTTGCTTTTATAAATGACTCTTACTGTGCATGATTCATCATTGAACACTATTCTAGAGGGTTCCATTATTTACACACATTTATTCATTGGCACATGGAAGTTAATTGGACTGAATGCCATTTTATATTGGGCTTTAAGGGATTGAAAGAGGTAAGACACATTTTTAGGATAATTCTTTTTGTCAGTGTTCATTTACCCTGAAGTAGATAATGATGGCGGCCACCATCACTCCAAAGCTCTGTAAGAGATCCCCCAAAACATGAATAAATGCCGCTCTGACACTGGTGTTCCCATGATTACCCAGGAGGCTGTGGGAGTGGCCATGGCCCACAGGGCTCATCCCATTCTCATCAATCTTGTGGTAGCCTGAACCGTGACTGTGGAAGGTCGTGGAATGGTGCAGAATGTAGGCCATTCTGGAATATAAACAATAATGCACACAAAAGCATATCAATTTAACAAAATTCTAGTTTTACGGTTTCATTTTTTCAAATATCTGTACATTCCACAATTGCTAATTAAATATCTGAATTTTGACTTTATTTCTAATAGAGATTCCATATAAAAAACGACAAAGTTTAATGACAAATTTTGACAAAGCCTTGTCTGAAATAACCTTTGGAAAGCTTGAGGTTTGAAAGAGAGAGAAAACGTTTTAGCAAATTGCATAATTTAGCATATTGCATGTTTTAGTGTGTCGCTAACATTGGTCTCAGAAGAAGCAGCAGCAGCATCTAGCTTGTTATAATTCCAGTGTCCGTCTACTCACATGATGTTGACCACGACTGCACAACCTGAGGTGATGAGCATCACATGGCCTTCGATTTCATAATCATTTTTTATTATCCTCTCAATGGCAAGATACACCAGCACCCCAGTCACGATCCAGATGGACATCACAGATATCAGGGCTCCCAGAATCTCTGTGAGATGTTCATTTGAGACAAATATGGTTTAGCATCACAGCTGGATGTAGCGAAGTCTTAAAATCTGCTTTAAAGGAATAGTACTGACTTAAATTTCAGTCTGCTTCTCATCCAAAGCTATCCCATAACTTCAGAAGATGTAGAATATAGCACAACAATTAATTTATTCTGTGATATTTTTTTGTTGATTTTGGTGCTTGACAGACAAATGTGTTCACTATGAACTACGGTTGTATGGAAAAAAGTTATGTAACGATTCTTTGAAATTTCTCCTATTTACGTACATGGAAAAAAACGTCTCAGGTTACTTATGTAACCATGGTTCCCTGAGTAGGGAACGAGACACTGCGTCCTCTAGGTTTCCCCATAGCGACCCCTAGAGGACGCAGTTCGAAGTTCCCATGAAAGGGAACAGCATATATAGGAACATCATGAAGGTAATGGGTTGGACTAACCTGATCTGTGCCAGCCAAAGTTCATTATCTTGGTTGGTGGCCTTGAGGAGATCCACAAGGAGAAAAGACTGACCATCATACTGCCAAAATCTGTCAGAAGGTGGGCCGCATCGGTCATAATGGCCAAGCTGTGTGCTAGATAACCACCTGCATCACAAGAACAGCAGAGAAAAATAAATAACTATTAGAGAGATACACTCTTAAAAATAAAGACTTCACAGAGATGCCATAGAATAACCATTTTTGGTTTCCCAAAGAACCTTTCAGTGAACAGTTCTTAAAAGAACCATTTTTCTCTTAGTGTGAAGAACATTTTAAAAATGTAAGCCTATAAAGAGCCATTAGTGCAAGGGGAAGCATCCATGGATGTTAAAGGATCTTCATGGAACCATCAATGCCAATAAAGAATCTTTATCTTTAAGAGTGTAGATAGAGATGATTTGCTTTTATAATCCACCATAGAGCATTCACTGTAAATGTTATTCATTATGAAATGTCTTTATTTTATTATACTCTGAAAACATTACTGAAGTGAGGCACAAAAGGCTTTGGAGAAAGCTAACACAGCATACATCATTTGTAGTTTAAAAGAGAGAATGACTCATAATTATTTTAAAGAGTACTTGGATTGTGAATGCTGACTTGAACAAAAAAGTGCTGTACAGGCTGAACAAAACACAGAAAAGCCTGCTTATCGCATTTAATATGAGTCAAGGACTGGTTTTGATCCAGCATTTTTCAAGTAATTTTGTGCTACAATGACAAATTGCTTAATCCATCATTTACTTGGTTGTGAAATGCAACCAGGGCATTTATTGTGAGGAGAACAACTTTGGCATTCAAAGACATAGCAAAATAAATTGCTTGCATTTACGTTATATATATATATATATATATATATATATATATATATATATACACACACACACATATATATATATATATATATATACTGTATATATATATATATATATATATATATATGTATATATATATAGAACAAATTTGAAGAAATGTAGCATTACGTCACTTACTCATCAATAGATCCTCTGCAATGAATGGGTGCCGTCAGAATGAGAGTCCAAACAGCTGATAAAATCGTCACAATAATGCACAAGTAATCCACATGACTCCAGTCCATTAATTAATGTCTTTTGAAGTAAGAAGCTGCATGTTTGTGTTTTAACTTTAAAACATTGCTTCTGGGCAAAACGAGTCCATAATCCATAATAATAAAGTTTCCTCTGGTGAAGAAGTCCATCCTCTGTTGTCCTCTCACATCAAAATCTCTCCAGCATATCAGTTTAGAATGGTTTGAAATGTTTTCACTTGTAATCGGTGCTTGATTCTCTCCTGATTCAGACGAGTAGACTTTTTCACTGGAGAAAGAAATGTTATAGAGGATCTTAAAGATGGATTTGTTTATTACTGGAGTTGTGTGGATTATTGTGATGTTTTTATCAGCTGTTTGGACTCCTTCTGACGGCACCCATTCACTGCAGAGGATCCATTGGTGAGCAAGTGCCATAATGCTCCAAATTTCTCCAAATCTGTTCCGATGAAGAAACAAAGTCATCTTGGAAGGCCTGAGGGTATGTGCATTTTCAGCAACTTTTCATTTTTGTGTGAACTACTCAGTGGTAAAACATTGCCTTAACTTTAATGTGCTTTTAATGTAGTCTATTACATTTATGAAAAATAATGTTAGATTTATGCTAATTCTTCAAAGATTCTGGCTTCATCATATTAGTAAACTCTATACTTTTTCCAAAAAGGCACAGTATTCTTACCTATAACTTCTCCAATCATGAAAACCAGACAGACTATGGAGGCGATGTACAGCTTCTTCTTTGCAATGAGTTTCTCATGGCTCTCAACGAATGCTGCTTTTTTTCCATGGCAATGAGTTCCAACAGGCCTCTTCAGCTCGATAGCACCAGCCATATCGCCATTTCCCAAAGGCAAGTTTGGACAACTTTCTTTGGAACCTGAGAATTCACTGTAAGAACAACACATAATGTGCAGTGACACCAAATCAGCCATCACACAGATACTATAATACCTGTTTTTGGTTCTATCTTATCAGGGAGGTATAGACATAAAATGTGCAAACATCATACACTCTAAAAAATGCTGGGTTGTTTCAACCCAACTTTGGGTCAAATATGGACTAACCCAACTTTTGGGTTTAAAATGTAATGTAAAAATTTAACCTAACGGTTGGGTTAGTCCATATTTGACCCAAAGTTGGGTTGAAACAACCCAGCATTTTTTAGAGTGTATCATGTAAATCACCTGTGGCCCAAAAGGCTGGGATAGACTCCAGCATTCCTATGACCCTAACAGATATATGCATATATTAAAATCATATGTATAAGTGCTTTGTAGAGGAAAATATTGTGTGTGAATACACAGCTCATGCCACGAGGACCCAGATCAGTCTGAGTTTAAATCTGCTGACATGGTGGGTTTTGGCTCTTCTGTCTTGTGGGTTGATGAGAGAGACGCTATGATGGAGCTAATGGGGCGGAAAGCGCAATCTCGGTGCGCATGAGATAATCGGAGTACTGCATCACGCGCGCACGAGCGCTGCTGCTGAACGGAGGCAGTCGAGTGGAACACGGCGGCTGTTTAATCACCCCACCGTGACACAGACATGATACACTGGATGGGGTTTTTTCTTTTGTGCCGACATAGACCAGCAAGCATACATACAACACATAGCCTATTTATTTTTTTCTGATCTCCTGACACTATGAAATTGAGCCTTTACTCTGCTTATTGACTTCACAATCAGAATTCATTTGCAGCGTTGAGTATTATTAAAATATAACAGTAGGCCTACTGTAATTGTGCTGAAATTAGGAAGTGTGCAGAGATTTATTTGCATGAGAAATGTGAATGGAAACACTAATCATTAAAAAAAAAAAAAAAAATGTTCCCAATTTAGAAAAAAGAATATTTAAAAAAAGATAAGGCACCTTATCTTTTACGGTTCCTATAATCATATTGATTAGCCGATACATTAAGTTACGTTTCGTCATCGTACTGTATATGTCTATGTTTATTTTTATAACATTTTATGTTTATTTTATGTGTATTTAGTTTTACCATTGTGGTGTTTTGGGTTTAATTTGTCAATATAGGCTACATTAATTCCTGGAGGAGTCAGTTAGCCTATTAGGCTATTAACTGTAAATTTGTGTTTTTTTTATTTTATTATTATAATGCTGGATGACAACCAATGGTTGTCGATATTTTCGATTTATGGCCCCTAATGCTTGAAACGTCACCGTATTTCTTTCTTTTTTTTCTTTTTTTTTTTACAATGAATTTCTGGCAACCACAGCTGGCATGCAGGGTTAACAGCATTTATAGTATGTTTTAATAAGACAGTGTATGTCCCTCCTCTAATCTAACACTATTTCCTATTGAATGCATACATGCTCTTTAGTACGGTGCATATGGAGATGTTTACAGTTTGGCAGAAGGTTTTCGGCTGAAACATGCTGTCGATCTTGTGGCAGTGCAGTCGGGGTCCTGCTTCTGAGCACTTTAATATTATACACGTCACTGGATCAAGACTGTGCAAAGTGTTGTGCTGTGATGTTCTGTAATTGATATAACAGGATTTGTTGGTTGATGAATAAAAAAAAACATAGCCTAATAATAGTAATAATTATAGTTAAAAATAGCGAGCTTTTATCATGTCGCGCGCATTTAGCTACTCTCTTTTTTTTTTCTTCGCTCTTAAAGACTATTTAGCCCGGCTGTTTTTCAATTTGAGAAAACAGCTCTATAAAACAGAATGCCCACTTCCTGAGTAGAGTACCACCTAATTCTGGATAGCATCTACATCTTAGGTGCCCTTGTTCCATGTCCTTCGAAATTTGTTCAGGTGACCTGTTGATGTATTATCAGTGTACTATTTTTGAAAATACCTTTTTGTTAATGTAATATGTCACCAAGCTAAATAGATAAGTGATCCTTTATTTGTTTCAGCAGCTTTAGTAAACGCCTCTGCCACATCCATCTAAATTCAGCCTGAATTTTACATGAGCTCTCGCCATGTCTCACTCAAGACCACGATGCAACTGATGGAAACAGCAGCCTGTTCATTGCAATTCACTGCACACAACTTGAACAATGTAACACTTGCTCAATCGCTTGTGATAACTATCGCCTGACTTGTATTCATTTTATCGCACAGTTTTACATATGTTCAGAATAAAACTGTGCGATGAAATGTTATATATTTACGCATTTTAATCGTACTGTTCCTCGACATCATCCTAAACTCCACAAAAATGTAAAAGCTATTTTGTACAGCTTTTATACAGCTGTCATATTTTCGTATTATTCGTGATAAATGCTGACGAAGTTTCGTTACGCACCAATACTCGAATTTATCTAGCCTATTATTTATGCCTAATAATGAGCCAAAATTCTGAGTAAAATATTTCTTCGTCTGACGAAAATAAAAAAATATATTACCACCAGGACGCTGCTTATAGTTAGGAGGAGTAATGGGGAGCATAATATTTAAATAACATAATATTCATAAATATTTTCTTAAACATGTTGGCTATATTTATCATTTCTGAGTAGATATGATAAGTATAATTTCTGAGTTCACGCGTTGCTCTTTTTAATATTAACAACCGAAGTGAATCTGTCCATGGTGCTGAAACTGTTCTATCACCTGCTTGCTTTAGGGTCATTTTAGTAGGGCGTGCAGAGGAAGAGAAAAGGTCTATGAAGAGTTTGATAACAATTATGTTTTTTTTTCATCTGATTTTTATTACTTTAAGAAACACAATGGAAAGCGTAGCCCATATGGAAGCCATGCTATGTAGACTACGTTCATTCTTCTGCTCACTAAACTTCCCTGAGGACATTGCTCAAAAAGGCTACTGTCCAAAATGAACTCAAGCACAGATTTATTATTATTTTTAATTAAACATCTCACGCACTGCATGCTTAACAAATACACAATTTAATTTACGTCTGTTTTCAGAATAAACATGGATGGCTTTCACGAGGCAAGACTGGCGCATATGGCTTTTGAATTAGTGTCACAATGTGGAAATATCATGCATCTGTTCGCTGTGACAGGTCTGTAATGTTGAGAGGATTTTGGAAAGATTTAGATATTGTCAATAAGACTTAACTATTTTAAATTGCCATTTTTTAAAATTATTATTATTAAATGTTTGATTCTCCATACAATGCTACACAACATACAGATCAATTTTATAATTCTGATCATTGATTGTGCACCAATTTCCAGATCATGCATTTTAGAATCACACTAATATCTCCCAAATGATTATTATTAGCCTATTATCATTAGATAAATAATTGAAATAGATTAATATCATTTTACCTGTTAAGTTTTAAGGAGTATATTTTGGCATTTCTTTCGTTGACGAGATGCGATTTCTCTGAAGACGGTGGAGGATCCATGGTCCTGTGCAGCTTCAGTGACCAGTGAAAAAACGAATTAATAAAAACCGTACCGAATATTAAAATATGCGTGTTTAATTAGACGGAAAAATTATAATTCTTCCGAGCCATTTTCGAAGGATTCAAGAAATGAGTGAAAGCACTCATTGCATCAGATCCACGGAAAAGAGAAAACAAGCTTGCAGTCAGTAATTCCGGTGAACTTGGCTGTGGGTGAGATCGGATGGATCTGGTGTAGAAGATTCAGCAGTCCGGTCAACTAATTTACGAATCTTACTATGGCGAGGCATGGTTATTAATATTCATGAGCTAAAGGTAGGCTTATGAAAGCAACGTCATCATTATAAATGTAATATTCAAAAGCCAGTCGTTCGCCATTGGAGAGCTACCAAGCAACGTCACCAGGACATAATTAATTACGAATTAATCCTTCACTGTAGTAGGATTGGTAAAAGGCGGCAGCCTATAAATGGAAATAAATGTGCACGCCCTCAGATTTAATAATTTTTTTCGAAAATACATAACGTTAAGTAGGCTATATTATAAAGAAACATGTAATTAAACAAAATAACAAATAACGGTGAAATATAATAGTAATATGTAGCCTTATAAAGCATATTAATATATGTTAATATATATCAAATAAAAAAACAAAAACAAACAAGGATCATTCGTATTTACTACGCGCCAGGCGCCACCGCAAGCATGACGCAAGCGCACTTCCGGACATGCGTTTTCGCGCGTTAGCTGCACACAAACATGGCGATGACAATGAGCCAAAGTGATGTTCAGGTGCAACAGAAAGAAGGAGAGGAGGATGATCCGTCGATGTCTAGATCTGACAGGTGAGTAACTAGATCAAGTTCCTGTCGAGCTCTGTTAACGTTGTTCTGGTGTGTTCTGGTTGATAAATAAAGGGCAGTGTTGGGCTGATCCGAGGCAACAGTTAAGCAATCGACGCGAGTGTTTACACAGTTTATCTGCTACTGTTGGTCTTATTTTGACTGGTTAAGATCTAGAGCATATAGAGAATGAGCAGAACAGACGCGCGTGTGTTTCTGGAGCTGCTGGCGTGCAGATCTGCAGCTCACGTCAATGCAAAAGGCACAGGAGAAGGCAAATGAAGAGGGGCTGTATTGCAGTTACATTTAAAGCAGTTTCCAGATCAAATATATATAACTTACGACAGTATTACATTTTTTGAATGCTAATAGTTCATTCATATTGTCTCCTTTTGTTGTCAAAAAGCAAAAAACATTGCTGAGCTCTGTTTGTTGATTTTATATAAAGGGTAATTGAGCATAAGGTACAAGTGTGTGTACACACTTACAGGTCAAAAGTTTGGAATAATTAAGTTTTTTTTTTATGTTTATGATTTCTTATGTTTACCAAGGCTGCATTTGTTTGATCAAAAATACAGTAAAACAGTAATATTAAGTTTAATTTAGTCCTGTGATGGCAAAGCAGAATTTTCGGTAGCCATTACTCCAGTTTTCAGTGTCATGATTCTTCAGAAATCATTCTGATATGCTGATTTGGT